CTGAGTTTCGTTTGTTTGCCTAGGTTGTGTGTACGGAAGGACCTGACAGGATAAGAGAACTGATTGCTATGGGTGCCTCATTTGATCATGGCGAGGATGGAAACTTGCATCTAGCTAGAGAGGGGGGGCACTCTCATCACAGGATCGTTCATGCTGCTGATATGACTGGAAGGGAGATTGAGAGGGCTTTATTGGAGGCAGTTATCAATGATCCCAATATTTCCATGTTCAAGCATCATTTTGCAATTGATTTGCTTACTGCTCAGGTAAACTCTCCTCTTCTTTGTTTGTAGTAGAGATTTTTGTTTTCACTGCGTACTTTACTATTATGGTTCCTAGGTTGGGAAGTAGTCACGGGGATTAGTAGGACGTTTGAAAGATGTTAACTATGATGTAAGAAAAGGGCTTTTTAGGAGAGAAGCCAATGATATTAAGTTTAGGAAGCAACTCATAAACTTTTGGGATAAAAATTATGCTTATTCTTTTCATTATATCAACAATATAAAGAATACTGCTGAATACAAGGATTTCAGTAACTATCCGGTAGAAGGAAACTCCCAACACCCAATAAAAAGATTTTGCTTGTAGTCCCATGGCCTAAGCAACTTAAGAAGGTTCTTTTGTATGCAAATCCCTGGGGAAACTTGCTTGGCAAGTTTCTTGATTGGGTTTGAACAATCATTCTTTATAGGATCTTGTCTTCTACTCTTGTTCTTGAATGATCCGATGATAACAGCCTTATGATACCATTCCAGATTCCCAACAACCTCTTTGGCAACATAAACTATCTAGACAGAAATTGAACAGCTGCTTGCGTGTCACTGGCATCTGAAGTTGTTTTGGCATCAGGAGAGTTTATCATTGATGCGGATGTTCCCTCTAGAGGAAACGGCACATGCTGCCTATGCACCTTCCTAGATTGCACCAGCTGCCCCAGCGTAGTATCATGCCTCCCTCAGTTTTTTAAAAGAATTTTTATCCTTGTTCAAGCTGCCTTGCTGATTGGCCGTAAATACCACTCTATACATTTCTCTCCGCACTTAATATCTGGCCGAATCATCCTGATACATTTCTAGGAGTAGCTCTAATTATTGCCAGAAGGTTCAAAAATCTTCATAACAACCTGGTTCAGATGCATATCTTTTATGGTCCCAAGTTTGGGATCTTGTTACGCGTTTAGCAGTATGTTTGATTTTAAGATAATGATAAGATGGCTCGTTAAGAATAGCTCAATGATATTTAAGTTTAAGAGGAAACTCAAAACTTTTGGGATAAAAGTGCTGCTTATCCTTGTCATCCCTTGGTCTAGAAATAGTGCTGAACACAAGGAGACATTTCAGTTACTACCTAGTAAACAGAAGTTATTGTATCCCAATTAAAAGAAACTACTGAATATAAGCAAAATTGAAAGTAACTGAAGTGAAGTAAATGCTGCAGATAAATATGATTAAACAAAGATGAAAGCTGATCTAATCAAACTACCCCTGCAATCTCGTACCTTATTTATGAACAAAAATGAGCTGCTTATATAAACTCCCACTAAAAGGAATAGCCTAGTTAGTCTACCTTAATATCTTGCTTATGAGATGTTTGAACTCATAACATTTATAAACCACTTCCTATGGAGGCTTTCAGTTTTAGCTGTAATTTGCCTTCTCAAGATATGAAGCACAAGAAGTATGTTGAAGGTTTTAGTTTCTCTCTCTTCATGTGTAAATTTAGCTGTAATTTTCCTTCTCAAGATATGAAGCACAAGAAGCATGTTGAAGGTTTTAGTTTCTCTCTCTTCATGTGGATTTGGAATTGTTAAGCTTAATACGATCGAATATTGAAGTGCATTTTTTTCTTGAGTTGCAGAATGGTTTAGAAACAGTCTGTCATGGTGTTGATGTTATGAATACTGAGACACAAGAGGTGACAGTGGACCTTCCTTCTAAGTTATTCAAGTTTTATTTGGCATCATTATTCAAAAGAAACTTAATACTACAACCAAACTGTTTACCATCTAACCAACTCTATATTCCAGGTGATTCGATTTATTTCAAAAGTGACCTTACTTGCTTCAGGTGGAGCAGGTCATATCTATCCATCAACCACAAATCCTCCGGTATTCTTGCTTCTTTTGCTGTAATTTCCATTTGATTTGTTCGCTCATATGAACTCAAGATGAAGTCTAGTTACCTTCTTTTATTCCCATATGTGTATCTTCTTCCTACTTTAATTCATGGTATGGTAATGTTCTTTAGGTAGCCACTGGAGATGGAATCGCTATGGCTCACCGAGCTCAAGCTGTAATTTCTAATATGGAGTAAGTAAACAGAAATGAAATTTTATCAGAAAGTGAAATCTCTTCTTCTCATCATTGCCCATGCTCTTTTATCTCATTATCGAATCCCATAATGCTGTATGGCATGATAAATACAACAATGCCAAAATTATTACTAGAGTTCGTTTTTTAGGACACTGCAATGTCATGAGTTGTCATTCTTTGTCAAAAATGTATTTTTAGTGCTGTTATTTATCTTGAATTATTTAAAATAATTTTGTTTTCACCCTGCTTCTGATAGCTGGATAGCAATCTAATTTGATACAAAGTTGTATGGGGTCTGTCGACATGGGAGATATTCATACAATGAAGTTGAACCACTTTCTTTTTGCAAGGGGTAGAATTACCTGCAGTTTTTTCTTTCCTTTCTGGAATTGGAATTTATAGATCTCTTTGTGTCCTCTTTCATCAGATTTGTTCAGTTCCACCCAACTGCCCTAGCTGATGAAGGCCTTCCCATCAGGCCAAGCAAGACTCGAGAAAATGCATTTCTGATCACTGAAGCTGTAAGGGGTGATGGAGGCATCCTCTATAATTTAGGCATGGAGCGGTTTATGCCTTTGTATGATGAGAGAGCTGAGCTGGCTCCTAGGGATGTGGTGGCAAGAAGTATAGATGATCAGCTTAAGAAGCATAATGAGAAGTATGTGCTACTTGATATATCTCACGTGCCAAGAGAAAAGGTTCTGTCCCACTTCCCCAACATAGCTGCTGAGTGTTTGAAATATGGCCTTGACATAACTTGTCAGCCAATTCCAGTAGTTCCTGCTGCCCATTACATGTGTGGGGGAGTCCGAGCTGGCCTACAGGGAGAGACCAATGTGCAGGGCCTTTTCGTAGCAGGTGAGGTTGCCTGCACAGGTTTGCATGGAGCAAACCGACTTGCTAGCAACTCATTGCTTGAGGCTTTAGTTTTTGCCCGAAGAGCAGTGCAGCCCTCAATATATCACATGAAGAGTTCTAGCCTTGATCTGAGTGCTTCCAATTGTTGGGCACGACCTGTTGTGCCTATGTCACTTGGGAATGACATGTTGCACAAAATGTTAAGGATGACAAGGGAAGTGAGGAGAGAGCTGCAATCAGTTATGTGGAAATATGTGGGGATTGTTCGGTCAACAATACGGCTACAGATGCAGAGCAAAAAATTGGTGAATTAGAGGCTAAATGGGAAACATACTTATTTGAGCATGGATGGGAACAGACAATGGTTGCACTTGAAGCTTGTGAGATGAGGAACCTCTTCTGTTGTGCAAAGCTGGTGGTGAGTAGTGCCCTTGCTAGGCAGGAAAGCAGGGGGCTTCACTACACAATTGATTATCCTCACGTGGAGGAAAGTAAGAGGCTACCAACTGTCATTTTTCCTTCTTCTCCGGCAAAGACTACATGGAGTTCACGACAGCTGCATAGGCAGCCCCTGTGTTAGGAAGTGCAGGGTGTGTTTCTAAATTTTTTCTGCCAAAACTTGTATCCCTCAATAATCATTTGTTACTTTGAAAATTTTATATGGAAAACCCTTCAACAAAGCATGGAATGCTGCAGAACTTTAGCACATAATGAAGGAATATCACCAGGATTGCTTTTTCCTCCTTTTCCATCTTCAATTTTTGCGAGCAATGTTTGTTTTGATTTGGTGCAGCTCGCTCTAACTTATAGATTCAAGATTAGTTAGCAGTTTATGTAATTCGAATATGAATATACGTTTTTCTGAGACCATAGACATTGTTATGTCAGAACTGAGGCAATATGCATCTGATATCTGCTGCATGGCTAAGGATGAGCACTACTTCTCTTAGTGTTTATGTGTATGATTGTTAGTTTCTGTGCTCAGAAAATGGTGTACATCAATTTGTTTTCTCTCTCTTTGCTTAGTTCCAAAGGATATTGATGTGGTTCATGTTTCATAGGAACTGGAATTTAAACAGGTCCTATGACTTCACTTGTAAAGATGATGAACCAGATCATTCACTGGGCTCACACAAAGTAGTTAAGCAATGGGTCTATAGTTGCAGAGTTCCTACTGCAGAATGTATGTTTGAAGTCCTGAGAAAGCTTTTCGATTAGTGGTTTACAATTCGTCAAAATACAGTTATCAGAGTTGTTTTCATAAAATTAACATATAAAGCTTTTTAAGCAAGTAGCTGTAGAATGCACTTGGAATTTCGGAAGTACCACAGGTATGGCTATATGCTAAACATATAACAAACTAATTGCTAAAAGTTGTGGATTAATTTGTCTGTTCTATAGTTGTTTGTGTACTTGAAAATGCCACCTCATAGATTTCAGGCCAATGGTTCTCTCAACCGCCCAGAGGTGTTATATTCAGTGAACCATGGGTGGCCCTTGCCATGAGGATCAAGAATCAAGAATTCAATTCCTATTCATTGAAGAGACAAGGTATCTTGCATTAAATTATTCAAGGGCTTCTCTCTTTTCCTTGTATCTAGAAAGAAACATCCAAAACTTGCAGTGTCATGGCTAATAATATTAGGTGGTATTGATGGTCTTCTTATCTGTTTGAATTCTTTGCAGAAGGTTATGAACTCTGTACTGATTCTGTGTGCTTGTTTTGGTTTTGAGATTAGCAGGAGACACTAAAGCAGAAATTGGCAGCATTTTGGGGAGATGTGGGTTCCCAGCAATATATAATTTTGGGGATTCAAATTCAGACACAGGAGCAATCTCTGCAGCTGCTAGAGAGGTTCTTCCACCAAATGGTGAAATCTTCTTTAGCGAAACCGTCAGGAAGATTTTATGATGGTCATCTAATTTTTTATTTATAGCTAAGTTAATACAGCTTCATTTTCATTTTATTGCCGACTATCATAGGTTTCCACTGCATATCTTGTCATTTGTCTCATTTTCTAACCTTACCATCTTTGCAGCGCTATAGAAGCCCCTTTCTGAAGGAAAATTTTCCTTCATGGGCATCATATGTTTGCATTATTGAATTTATTGGCACCATAAGATATGGCGTATCATTGTTCATTTTCTGCAAAGAACTTAACTCATTGTTTGGTGCAGCTGAAAATCTGCAGTTGCTATCCCTGATACTTGCTTGGACTTGTTTGGAGCAAATTTTAGGTGTAGTGCCAATTTTGCAACTGGTGGCTCATCCATTCATTCAGGCGGCTATAGCCCTATTCGTCTTGCAAGCTTACCAGTTCATTCACTTCAAAACTCATAGCACGGCTCTATATAATCGACTTATCTTGAATAGTAAGTTAATTCACCTGCATCTCTGCATTTTCTCCCACATTGTGCCATTGTTGTAGTAGTGAAGGCGTGGTTGCAAGTGCTGTAAAATCTCTAATCTCTCTTACATATTTGGTATTATATATATTTTAACGAGTGGCAGGTAAACTTGTATTTTGACTTTAGATTAACCAACATCATTCAAAAGCAGCCTTCCTAGCCCTGATGGTTTCTCAAAAGCTATATTCATACTGGATATCAGCCAAAATGATGTCGCCTAAGGTTTTGAATTCAATAGGCAGCTGAAGAACGAACTATATTGGTTGGAAGACACAACTCCTAAGGCAGACTACTCATATTAATCAGCAATGCTAAGAAAAATGGAAGATAACTAACAACAAGTCCATCTCGCCTTATTACCAACATGAGATTAGTCTCTTGATATATATATATATATATATATATGTGTTTATATCTCCATCTATTTATACAAGTGCTAGTAGAAATTTTCACTAACCAAGCTAGCTTGGGGGGGGAGCTTGTATTGTGATGGTGGCAGGTGTTTTAGATCCATTTAGCTTCTGCTATGGTAAATACCATGCGTATTTTATTGGTTGTGGAAGAGGAGATGATCCTTGTAAAAATCCGTCTGTGTATATTAGCTGGGATGGCATACACTACATTCTTAATCCTCTTCTCACAGGTGAAGTCTGCAGTTAGCCCTGTTAGCACTAGTAATCATTCATTATTACAATTTAAATTTTAAAAAGGGAGAATAACTAAAATAGGAAAATGACGGAATACATTGAGTAATTATTATATGAAAAATTTGAAGTAATTAAAAATAATAAAGTAATAATTATATATATATATATATATATGTAAATTACGTTGGCAGAACACATGCGAATAATTGTTTTAATGAAAAGTAAATTAAGATAAAATGAAATGAGTAAAGGTTAAAATTTTACAGCCTTTATTTTTGTTAATAATCAAATTTAGTCTAATCATGCTTTCCTACGATTCTAATAGATGTCGTTGTTTTTATATTATTTAGTAACATTTTTTATTTATTTTGTGGTGTGTCAACTCATTCTTGTGTATTAAAAATAAAATATTTCCCAATTTAATTAAAATGAACAATTTATAAATATCATACCTTAAATACTTTATTATAAAATTTAAAAAAATCTTATTACTATTAATATTTGATTATTGGATTTATCGACTTTTGAACCTCCCAATTTTGTCATGTTCAATGTATTATCCGGCAAAGTCAATCAAACTGCAAAGTCAAAGTCAATCCATGTTACTTTTTGACAAATCCCACTGGCTTAACAAATTAAAATAAAACATCTTTTCTCATCTTCCCCGTCTTTCGCGCTGTAGGATGTCTCCCCTTAAAACGCTGCGTTTTCACGTATATAAACTCTCATTACATCTAGTCCTACGCGCAACGCAAGACTGAATTGATTAGTCTTTGCTTGAGTTCTTACACGTACACCATCGTCTTTCTCTTTCACACACCGCCATGGCCACCGACGCCTTTTTTCTCTCTTCTCTCGCTGCTTTCTTCTTGCTTCTACGTTTAACAGCTGCAACAGGTAGATCACAAGAGAGATGCGGCTTCCCGGCGATATACAACTTCGGTGACTCAAATTCGGACACTGGAGCGATATCAGCGACATTATCCGAGATTCTTCCTCCAAATGGTGAATCCTTTTTTGGAAAACCTGCAGGCAGGAACTGTGATGGTCGTCTTATCATAGATTTTGCAGGTAAAGATAATAAAGCTGCTATTACTTTCTGTTCTTTTTTTTTTTTTTTTTTTCCTTTCTATAACACCTCCAAATAGATGGAATTAGGTTGTCTACGGAAGAAATGAGCGATTAAATTCCTTTCTTAGTTGAATTCTATGAGGAGTTTATCAGTTTTTCTTACTTTGATTAGGAACTTGTAAAATAAAGTTTTATGTACTTTTGGTTCTGCATTTCTAGTCTTGCGTATTTCGAGTATGTTTTTATTTTTCCATAGTTACTTGTCTCTTAAATCAGTTTAGTTCATTTTTAAATTTCACTAATTTGGTACTAGTTTGAAATGTATGATTTTCAATTTTGAATTTAACTTAGAATTCATTTGGAATTGAGTTTTTATATTCGCTAAAATTCTGAATAAAAAGAAGCTAAGATTTAAAAATTAATCCCATAATTTTATTGAAACTCACAGTTCCAAACACTCTCTAAAGTTAATATTGGAAGATTAAGTGGTGCTTGATTGTTGTTGCTTACTTATGATGAAAGCTTTAAGGATTCTTGGCTTATGCATTCATAAATTAGTTGGGGTCTTTCCAATTTAGTTTTGTGAAAGCTATTTTGGAGGCAACAACTAGTTTATTAAATTAGGAAAAAGGATTTGTTTGTTTTTTAGAATGATCATAAACATTCTTCCTGGAAAGTTCCATGTCTGTTAGCCATTCAATCAAAAAAGAAGATCAAATGGAAGGGAACTTAAAATATAGTAGGAACTTATGGGATGGCTTTCTCTCTCTTTCACTAGCTGGTCATGTCTAGGTGACATAAATGTTAACAACAAGAAAAGATAAAGAAGCTACCATCCTAATCTTGCTGCAGTAAATAAGTTGCCAAAACTCTGTCTTTTGTAAAGGAGCAACCCTAATTTTTGTTTGTTACAACAATTGTATTCATGTGTATTTTATACATGTATAGATACATAAACATTTTCATTGGCTTTTCCATGCAGCTGAGAACCTTGGTTTACCATATCTGAGTCCATACTTAGATTCAGTTGGAGCAAATTTCAGGCATGGTGCAAATTTTGCTACTGGCGGCTCATCCATTCGCCCAGGCGGTTTTAGCCCATTTGATCTCAGCATTCAAATTTCTCAATTCATACAGTTCAAAGCTCGCACTATTGCTCTCTATAATCAGCTCAGTCCTGACAGTTAGACACATTCCCATTTCTTGTTTATTTATTTCCATTATAAGACTTTTAACTTTCAGCATCCTGGCAAGACCTATAAAATTTTCAAGTTAATATGGTGCATGTGGACCATAAGGTGCTCAATTTGGGTACTAGATTCTTGAGAGCTATTAAATGAGTTTGGCTACTTGTGTCCAGGAACAATGCCCCCATTCAAAAGTGGCCTCCCTAGGCCAGAGGACTTCTCAAAAGCTCTTTACACTTTTGATATTGGACAAAATGATATTGGTTATGGTCTTCAACACGGTACAGATGATCAAGTCCAGGCATCATTTCCGGACATCTTAAATAAGTTCTCTGATGCAGTTGAGGTATCCGATACATTGTAATGGTCATTGATTAAGTGCTGGTTTTCGTTGTTTTGCCGACAACTAGTCAATTTATCGTGGTTCATCTTTACAGCTGCTATACAAGGAAGGAGCAAGATTCTTTTGGGTACATAACACAGGTCCATTTGGATGCTTGCCTTATAATATCATCTACTATTCATTAAAACCTAACAACCTGGACCGGAACGGATGTGTGATACCACAAAATGAGTTATCTAAGGAGTTCAATAGGCAGCTTAAGGAGAAAGTATCTTGGTTGAGGACAAAACTCTCTCAAGCAGTATTCACTTACGTTGATGTTTACTCAGCCAAGTATTCAGTAATTAATGATGCAAAGAATCTAGGTAACTTCTACTGTTTTAGCAAACATGGTCAGATGTTTTTTTTTGTTCCACACCGAATCATTCAAGCTAATACCCTGGAATTCATATGCTTCTGATCTAATACGAAATTCTGATGGCAGGTTTTGTTGATCCATCGACTTTCTGCTGTGGCAGTTACTATGGATACCATATTGATTGTGGAAAAAAGGCTGTAGTGCACGGAACAGTTTATGGTAATCCATGTGACCATCCAGCAAGTCACATTAGCTGGGATGGCATACACTATAGTCAGGCTGCAAACCAGTGGATTGCAAATAGAATCTTCACTGGCTCTTTTTCTGAGCCACCTGTTCCAATTTGGGGGAGCTGTCGTGATTCGAGCAATGTACGATCATGATACTAATACCTCATTTGCTTACAAAATACTGCATTTTGAAGAATAACTGAGTGATATTGGCCACCTTCAGCTTTTCTTTTCTTGGAAGAATATTTCACATAATTGTATCCCAGTCTGATCCTCTGCGTATTTGTTGTAGTTTCTGACATATGATGTCAGAAGTAGATATTACATACCTGAATAGGGCAAGTTATTTATATTAATGTATTACTCTCTGCTCTGGCAGGTCTCCTTTGGCGCATTTAGCTCTAAAAATCTGGATAGGAAAGTGGGTATGGAAGTTTCACTATTTATATTGTTGCTTTCTCTATATTTATAAGAAGAAAAAAATCAGTTTCTTCTTTAAACCTGGAAAGTTATTTCAGCATTTTTACTGTCTTTTGTTGATTTTACCTGGGAAATTTTTGCTAAAGAACCTAAAAACAGAAATTTTTACTGTGTTGTTTTCAGATTATTCCCATTGGGTATGAAATAACCTAAAACAGGATTTTTTTATGAATGTTATCTGGAATCACGATCCGATAAATCATAGTAGCAGGATAAATACTGGGAGTTTGTTTTTATGAAGGTCAGTGATGGTGCAGGTTATACATGGTTCATGAATTTGAGTTGAGTATAGAAGTAACCATGACAATTCCATATAGGCCTTCGCTTGTTCTCTACTCTCAATCAGTTCAACTTTTTTATTTGTGCATTTGTGGTTAGTTGTGAGGTCAAGTGTTTCTTTAACTGCAGGCAGCTATCTACTTAGCTTTGAAAGAAGGAAAATGCAGAGGATATTATCTTTTAAACCTTCCACCCATGAGAAGATAATGAAATCCCACCATTTCTTCATTGAGAATGAGAAGAAGAAGAATATGAGAAATAAATTTCGACAATTCAATAAACAAATGATTTGATTATACATTCAACTTAACCTCCGAAAACAAGTACATCCTCGCTCTTGTTATTATAACTTCCAGAAAATTTCTCTAACAAATAAGTTTTTTAACACTTTTTCTTTACATGTGTGCTTCTATTTTATGATACTTGAATCTCACCATCTTTTATAGTATAAGTGTTGGTGTCTAAGAGGGTTACAAGTGATCTAGATTTTCTGTTTCGGGTTCTGCCTGCTTCTTTCAACAGCTCAGCAAGCCTTCTTTTCTCATCATCCACATCAGGATTAGCAGTTCCAAGCTTCTCCTCTCTCATCCCAACCATATATTCTAGAATTTCAATTGCATCATCTAACCTGTAGGATTTACAAACAAGACAAAAAATATAAAGGTGAATTGCAAAACAAAAATATAAGTTAAATGCAATAGAGTATACCTTCCCATTGCATCATATGTGCCAGCTAGATTGCTGTACACTCCTAAGGTGTCAGGATGATATGGTCCATATTCCTTCTCCAATATATTCCTTGCCTCTTCAAACAGATCAGCTGCTTCATTTATGGCATATCTCTGAACACATGCAAGTCCCATTTGGTTCAAAGCAATCCCAAAGAGTGCAGATTTTTTCTCTCCGCAGGCTCGGAACTTAGAAACAGCACTCTTTAAGGTGTTATAACACTCATTGAAGTTCCCAATCATGTAATACATTACTCCCATCTGTGCCTCTATGCCTGCAACTGTGCTTTGTTGTCCTGGAGCATCTTGATATACCTTTAAAGCCTTCTTGAGGAACTTCAGTGCATGATCCAGTTCATTCATGGACTGAAAAATGGCAGAAATGTCAATTAGGCCACTGGCAATCTCTTCTGCAGGAATGCCAGGATTAGGTTTTTGATAAATACGGAGTGCATTTTCACAGTAGGACTTGGAATCTCTTAATTTCCCTATTTTGTTGTATAAATCAGCCAAGCGAACAAAGACTGAAGCAACTGCTGGGTGGTTTTCTCCTTTGGCTGACTTGAATACCGTCAAGGCTTTCTGATATGCGAAGATTGCCTCATCAAACCGAGTCAATGACAAGTATGAATCTCCAATGCTGCAGTCAATTGAAGCAACATCTACTTCTTGTCCGTGGGCAGCCATTGCCATGCTTGCTAAAACATAATGCTCGAGAGCAGCGTCATGGTCCCCTTTTGAGTCACAAATAAGTCCCATGAGTCTCCTGTCTGTTGCTTCTTCCGCAGAAGCAGGTGAACCCTTCCCTCTATGGATGTCAAGAGCCATCTGGCAAAGTCTCTCTGCCTCATCAAATTGCAATGCTTGAACGTGAACCTCCGCTATATATTGACAAGTCTCAGCGACTCGATGATCAGTTTCTCCGAGGACTTGCCTTTGGATTTCCAAACCTGCTGTGTAACACAGTATAGAGTTCTCAGTCTGACCGAGAACACCATAGGTGTCACCTAATTGCATACAGCCAGCAAACTTGGCCAGTGCATGATTTTGGCCATCTTCAATTACCGGAATGTCAATTGATCGTTCAAGAACCGGAATTGCCTCGGTGTGTTGGCCTAAGCTGCAGTGTATGGCTGCCAGAATATGCAAAGACATAACCAGCTCTAAACTGGGTTTCCCATTTGCACATATCTCCAAGGATTTTGTTGCTCGTTGAGCCAATTCAAGTGCCTTCTTCAGGTTTTCACCAGAAGAAATCATGTCTTTTGCCTGTTTAAGTAAAAATCGCCCAAGGTCAGGATTGTTTAGACCTGCATCAACAGGACTATCAAGTCTGCTCTGCAACTTTCCTCCTTGCAAGCCAAAATTCTTTTGCTTCTTCATAGCGGATCCTGCATTTGGCTTTCTTGCATTCTTCTCTTCTCGCTTATTGACTGAAGGTTTTCCGTGAAAGGATTTGCTATTAGGACTTGATTTTGCCGGAACTTCAGGCTCCAAATTAAAGCAAGAAGACCGGTTCTTCTCCTCTGTAGCAGCCCTTCTAGTATTCCTTGATTCATTTTCTTTCTTGGGTGTCAAGTCACCAACATTACACTCTTCCTTATTCTCCATCACAACCTCTTTTGTGATCTCCACTCC